TTGAAGCAAAAATCTGTAGTATAGTATAGTACCCCGTACTGACTGCACGTTGCTCTAGCTCTTGCGTTAAAGATGAAAGCTGCGTTTTTTTCCTTGTTAGAGCAGAAATCTATTTTTATGGAAGTATATAGTATAATATAGTACTTCCTGCCTATTACACACTGCTCTAACCCCGTTGAGGATGAATTTTTTTTCATTGTTGAAGCAGAAATCTGTAGTATAGTATAGTACCCCATACCGATTGCACGTTGCTCTAGCTCTTGCGTTAAAGATGGAAGCTGCGTTTTTTTCGTTGTTAGAGCAGAGATATGTTTTTATGGGAGTATATAGTATAGTATAGTTGTTTCTAAGTCTCTATCGTGGATATGAGATAAAGATTGTTGTTTTTTAGGTTATTGTTGAAGGTAATCGAAAGCTTTCCGATAGAAATCAATAAATTCGTAGCTGCCTAATAAAATGAGTTTTCAAACTACTCTGAAAATGATTCTCGAGTCAATTATTCCTGGTAAGGTATAAAAATGAATTAGTCATAAGTCAATAAGAAATGAAGAAATTCGTAGAGAGGACACCAGAGATTATCGCGTGAGAGTATGCTTGAGCTTCAACACGATCCATCGAAGATTTAAGATTGTATCGAAGAAAATTTCGAGTGAATTAAGAACTAAGAATCCGAGAATTTGTTATCGTTGTTTTATCTTTGCAAATTCTACGTTCGAAACCTACCAAGCAACTAACCCTCGTAACTATGAATTCGCAACTATGAAACTGGGTCAAAGACGATCGATATCTGTTCGATGGGACTACGTATAGATCACTGCTCGGTGACGAGATAACTTTTCGTGTCATGGGCGTTTCTGCGGCTCTTGCTGTTCATTAAATTCGAGATGCGGAAGGATAATATTCCCCCTTTAAAACGCTTTCAACGTTCAAGCCTTCAACCTAGAAAAAGGTTGTCGCTCTCTCGGTTACTTTGTCACGGTTGCAACTTTCTTGTTAGCGAAGTTTGGAAATACTGTCGTCGAGCGTCTTCAACGTAGCCGCGCGGCGGTGTACCAACTTCGATCGAGAAAGAAAAACCGAGCTTTCGCGTTTTCGCAAGAGATATCGGTGTCGAAAAGGAATCACGTGCTTCGTTTCACTTAAAGATCATCCAATGCTCGTGGTTCTACGACTTCCGTTTAATTGGACAAACGAGATGAGACTAATGTAGAATTGGATTTGAACGATCATCCGATATCGATAAGATAACATTCGTTAAATTCGTGAAATGTAAATCAGTTACTCGATTAAGATGTTGAACGTGTATTAAAGTGCAGGTGAAATTAATACATATTTTGCAACTAAATCTGACGATTAATTAAGGAAACAGTAATGAGAAACGATTGACAATGTTAGTTTATTAGTTCGAGAAATCTCTAGAGATGAGCGAGAACTAACGATAGCCGGAACGGATTGGAAAGGCATCGGGTTGAATCGGGACGGATCCCGAAACTTTCTCGAAATTGGTAAACTTCAGAAATCTCGAGAATCCCAAAATTCTCAGAAATCTCGATTTATAGATTTTACTTTAGAGATATTCTCAAGAACCCAACACGATTCAACATCTTCAGGCACACATTTAAATATCTCTAGAAATCTCCGCATGCTATAGATAAACGATATTTGATACGACAGAGATTTCATCCATTTGAATGACTCAAGTGTTATACTGTGTACTTTTGTCTAACGTTACGATCATATTCGAAACTACACTGAATGATTGTGATAATAACAATCGTAAGACGATGATACAGTAACTCTGTAAACGAATATGTTCACTTGCGTTAGAAAAATAGATGAAAGCTTCACTTCTGCGCACGTATCTGCAAGAGCTACGATACAACATAACATTTCGTAAGACAAATGTCCCATGAAACGAATAAAAAGAAAAAAGAAAGAAAGAAAGAAAGAAAAGGAAAGAGAGAAAGAAAGACACTTTGTCCCGATATCCTACATCTGTACAATATTGACAAAATTTTCTAAAGCTTCTCCGAGTTTCGTGAAGTTTGTCAAAGTGGGCTAGCTACTTTAATCGAAAAGTCGCCGGCGAAAGGAGATCATACGCGGTAGGTAGGTAGGTACTCCGAGATTCTTTCGCGAGGCAGAAAACGCATTCTTTTGTGCCAAGTAACTCCCCTTTTGTTCACTCGGCTCTCGTTTTCTCGTTGCAGTATAACATAAAGAAGCGGGAAGAGGTGCAAGAAGCGACCCAAGAAGAGCCGAATCCTTTGATGCGCAAGAAAAAGACGCCGGAGGAATTGGCCGCGGAAGCCGAGGCGGAAGACGAGGACGAGATTACAAGTATGTACACGGAGTCAATTGCATTCGCTCATCACACTCGGTACACACGACCCTCCGCCAAGAGGTTGAGGCCAGTGAAGTCCACATGGCGCAGGGTTAAGAACGAACGAGAGATGTAAATTCACCGTAGGCCCCGCCGTACGTGCAGCTACCTAACGAATTAATGCAACGGTGCTCAGATGCTCCGAGGAATGATCAATGAAGGATTAACGAGCCTTGGCTAGAAATCAAACAACTTCTAACCATCCACTCGGTTTCTGAGTAAATTTGACAGGGTGAGGGGAGGGGAGGAAACACACCGCGT